TCTAATTATTACTCAAAGAACTTCAATTTCTAACAATTTTTCCTGGTTTTTTATATTAGAATACCTACAATTTAATGAAGAAGTCTGCAACTCTTTTCTGGGCAATATTAAATTTTTATCTGTCAATGACAAATCGTCTGCTGAAAATCTAATACAAATGTTTGGGTAAACACAAGATTTTGATGATATACTACAACTCCAATGGATTGGATTTGCATTTTATGGTGTTGTAATTTTCAGGGCACAAATAAAGGAGTAAGAACAATTTTTAAGTATGAGTTTAGCTCTAATTTGAAAGGTTTCATTGCCAGTCACAAATTAGGGTGAACAGTTCATGATATAATTGAAAGAATCAGCTCCATTACATTTCCAAGTTGTTTACAGAGACCCTTATACTCTCTGTTTTCTTAAAATCTTAAAAATCATTTAGATATTGAAGTAATCAGTGCTGGTGAAAGTTGTGTTCCTGAAAAAATCTTCGATATTCTTTGCGTTTCCTTGTCATATTTATCGGCTTACTCAGCAAGTGTGGCAAAATGTTTTATAGTTACTTTTGAATTTTTGGATAATTAAAAGTGATGACAGAATATCCCCCCATGAGATTATTCTAAATTTTGAAAGAATTCTTAAGAAAATGATGTAATTGTTTCTTGTAAATGATGTAATATTAACACAATGCGTTAGATGCACTGAAGCAGTTTTATTTATTTTCACATTTGAGGAATACCAGTGTAATGCATGTTAACACTGAACTGAAAACAGTAAATCAAATACTGAAGACAGTGAAACATTTTTCAGGGGTTGTTCTAAAGGAAATAGAAAAAGAACATAAGAAACATAAAATGCTGAAAAACTTTTTCACAGCTAAACCAATTAACAAAGATAAACATGATTTCTTGAAATTTTGGAAACAAATTTTACAAGGACTCATTGATGATTTATGCTCATGATTTGAATGTTTTAATTATTTTATTAGCGCAATTGAAATACTAGATGAAATAAAACAGCCAGCAAATGAGCTGTAACTGATGCTTTGTGACAACAAAACAATTAAATTTCTTTCTGACATGATGAAATCATCAAATTCTGTGATTGCATCAGAATATAAGAATATGAAGTCCCTTCCTTTGCTAAACTGTTTTATAATACAAAAGAGAAAACTGCTTTGAAGAATTAATCCAGAGTATCAAAAGTGTATCGGTTTCAACATCAGAAGCAGAGTGCGGATTCAGTGAAATGAATACCATTACATTAATTTCCAAACAAAATAGTATGAATATTCACAGACAATATTATGCTTATTACCATCAACGGGTCATTTCTGCAGGATTTCCCAGCCATCAAATATGCCACTAGATGTGTAAACCAAGGTCATTATTCGGCACTTGCTATGCTCCATCTCCACGAGACACGAAAGCAGAAATCATATTCATAAATATTTATCTAAGATAGGCTTACACATTCAGACTTTTAAAGTACATTTTATTCTGTATTGAAAATTGGTAGATAAAAGAATGCATATGGGTTTAACTGCATACATTAAGAGGCCTCAAAAGGATGTAATTTGGAATATCTGTATAAGGGGAAAAACCCTTTTATTCTGACATACTGGAAATAACTATTTAAAAGTTAGTAATGAGCTTGTTTTAATCTTGGATATTGCCTTCTTTTTGTTTCTATTGTTCAGGGTGTCATTGTAGTGGTTCTTGTTGTTGCTGTTATTTTATTGACTAGATGTTTTCAGAGATTTAGAAGTTATTTTCGACTCAAAAATGACATTTTCTCACTATATAGATCACAACTAACGAGTCTAATCAACTAGTGGGCATCATTACAAGTACTTGTAAAGAATTACGTGATCCTTATACATTGAAAATGTGTTTAAAGCTAGTCCAACTTATTTTGATGCATTCACCAGCAGTATGGTCCCCCTCTTTTCAAACCCATGTTCGACAATTAGAAACTGTCCAACATAAATTTGTTAGAACTGCAGTAAATCACTTACATTTACCTGATCCATTTATAAATCACAAGTGTTTAACTATTTCACAGCAGTTAGGTATTCTCTCTTTCCTCATTGAGAAACTACAATGATATACACCTTTAAGACAAATCAGTTAATGGAGTGATTGATTGTCCACTTTTGCTTGAACAATTAAGGATTTGTGCTCCCTCTACTTCAAGAAGAAATTATATTTTTTCGCTTCAACAACACATTGCTGTCTATACATTAAATAATTCGATTTCACAATTATGTAAATTAGCAAATAACCTTTATATTGATTTCTGGGAAACTTCCCTTTTGAACTTTACAGGAGATGCAAAAAAACGGGCTGTTACTTTTTAATCGATATATTTGTATTTTTGAATTTGATATTATACGATTAGTTATATCATTGTTACTTCGTTAGCTAACCTACTTGCATGTTAACGCAATTCACATATATGACTTTGTATATTGCATGAGAATCTATAAATAAATATATAATAATCTAGAAGGCCATTCCCCAAGCAAAATTCTCAAAAAGGCCTTGTTACTTATCGTATCAGTCACAGGCTTTTCAGCACGTCTACATTGAAAAGAAGTTATCTATTGTAATGTGACAAATACTGTATCCCTTGTGCAAAATGTAATCACTTGAACAGAACTGTTCCTGCCCAAAGATCCAAGGCGCTGGGCCCAAGAAGCCACCTTGATACCAAAACATGCTTCATTTCCTCAAAGCAGAGACATTGTGACATTATGTGAGAAATCACTTCTAAGAACGAAGTTTGTGGAATAGAAAGGGGGCTCTTTCGTAGCACTTTGAAATACATAATTCTGGTTTTAAAGAGTTCCAACTAATTATAATTGACCAAAAAATAAAAATATTTTATCAATGTACATTTAAAGGTTTTACATAATTGTGACTTCAACAAAGCTACAAATATAGCTTATTTTGTGTTTATTATTCAATATATGCACAGCTAGAAACAGAAATTAAAACAGCAGTTTTCTGAAATTAATAATGCAGATCTATAATGTGCAATACATCAGCCATCATTTGAAAAACTCAATGTAATTAAAAATTAGGTGAAAACTACTAACATTTTCAAAAACCATTCATCACATTATTTAAAGATATATTTTTACCAGATTTCATGACTAAATATGTAGTTGTAGGAAAATATTAATTTGCAATTTTGAAGAAATTGGACATTTTTTCTGAAAATTGAACATGTGCTGTGTTTATAAGTGCATTTCTCCAATTAAAAAAACAAATCTGGAGACATTTTTGAGATAATCGTAATGTCGTAGACACTTCATGAAATAGTGCCCTCATAAATTGAAAGATTCGCCAAGTCTTGAATGCACATAGATCGATCAGGTAATATCAATTTTGAAGAAAATCCTGAGTGGTGTAGGTACTTGTTTTGTCCACTATGGTTGGATGCACAGGCAGATGAAAGTTTTTGAAAAAAACATAACACATTTTCAGTATTGGGTACCGCCAAAACATGCATTTCCATCAAAATTCAACAGCCATTTTTTGAAGCTAATTTTTTTTTCTCTATTAGAACCAGAAAGTAAAATTAATGAACCCATCTCAAATGAAAGTGTCCGAGGCATAATTATTTCAATATGTCAAACTTGTCTTTCAATTGTTGACTATTCTTTCAATATCTCAAATATCATTTTCTGTACAAATTAAGTCCACGACTATTATTTTATCTACTTCACAACTTCTAGAAATTTTATGCTTTATAGCCAATAATTTAGTTGAAATGTGGAATAAACAATAATGTTGTGAAACTTCTCCTGTACTTAATTATCTTCATTGCCTGACTTGGACAAGCTATTTGTGAAATATCTATTTACTTAATTATGTTGCCTGACTGGTATTACTGTACCAATGCTATAATTTATTTTCTTTTATTTTGCCCTGCTATGCTCATAAATTTTCTCAACATTAAATTGTTATTATCATGATCCTACTTTTATTTTTGATCATGGGTCGTGACATTAAACCTGTAACCTTTTTACCTGTGGTCGTGAAATTCGGTACAGAATTGCAATTCCTGCAAGTTCTGTTGATTGAAACTAATTATTAAATCGATGGTAACAACTACAAATTATCAGCCTTTTCTTTTTCAATAATGTGAATTTAACATTTATAATGATACTGTTACAGGTTTTACTGAGCTCAATGTGATCTAATTTTCCTATGTACAATAATTATAGTTCTGCACGGTCAGTAAAGCTTGTGGGCTTACTGTGATATTCGCGCGCTATGATGATTTCTCAGATGACTTCTGCATCTTCTGGCAAGATACCGTCCGTTGGATGTCCCTCTTCTCGTAATCTTCCCTAACGTTAAGATAAGTTTGCAAAGGTTTTCAGTGTATTCTAAACTATTTTGTTATTTCATAAAAATCAATAATTGTAACCAAGTTATTTTGTGAACTCCACTTGCCCTGTGTGCTTTGGATGAACACCTACAAGTTACTGTCCATCTTCAATCAAACTCGCTAAAAAATCATCCCCATCTATGGATCTAACCTAATATAAATTCCCTTCGACCATGAAGTATTTTAATTTAAATTACAACCCAAATTAAAATGATGTCTGGCTTCATAATTCATGCTGTCAAAATTACTTATATGTCAACTACCTCTCTATAATTGAACTATTACCCCAATCTCAACTGAAAAAATACTATGCCATAATACTATGTGATTATTGCAACATTTTCACAGAACCACGGCTTCCACTCACCTCTTTACACCTGCAAATAATGTCCATGGGGCTGTGTTCCTGTTCTTTCCCCAAACAAATAGAGTTTTGTCATCAAGCATGGAATCTAATAACTAGTTTATTGGTTGTCCTAACAACGTGTATTCCTTGGCTCTAAGTGTCCTATAACCGTACATTTACATTGTATCTAAAATGCTTAATGCCATTTTTCTAGTTTAAAATAACACTAGGATTTTCTGGCTTATCACAATATGGAAGAACTAGGTATAAATTTCATTGATTTTATTCATACATTGGTAAAAACAAATATACATATGCAAATTATTAACATAACATGATCTTTGGTTAAGAAGCAAAAGAAAAATAAATATCACAATTATATCAAGTCATTAGAAAATATATTACAACCAAAAATGTACATGCAACACCACGTCCATTTCAAATTAGACATTAGTCTTTCTTCATATAAATAAAGGTTTTTTTAAAAAAAAATATACAAATTCGAATGTCATTTTTGACAGGTCAAAGAATCTGATTTTATGTCAAACATTCTTATTACAATGCACTCATTCCTATCTCTTTGCCACACAATAAAACAGGTGACTATGCACAGCATGTCTACCACAGCAATAATTATTATACACAAGTTCATTATGGTACATCTATAGAAACAAATTCATATCAAAAAATAAATATAAAATTAACAAAACTGACCCTCACAGAAGGTCGTAGAAATCTAATTTGAACACTACTTCTGTATTGTATACAATAAAAGAATGAATTCAATCTTCGAAAGCCAATCAGTTCACTGGAAGATTGCCAATGACACTGCTCATTGAAGGCCCTATCACTTTCTAACAATGAAGAAAGAAAATATCACTTAGAGGCAATTAATTTGTTGATTTGCAATCACTGACGTACCATTGTTAAAGATTATTTTCAAATTTTTTAACCTTGGCTGAAATGTTTATGATAATAAGGGTATATCAAATATCATATCAAAAAACTTTTCATTTAATATTTTGTTATTTTACGGCAAAACAATTCATTTCCAAACACAGAATACGAATGCACACCAATTTTGCATAATTTGGATGCAGAAATGATGTTTTCACGGCTCTAATAAAAATTATTTTCAATTATTGAGACTGATAGGTTTAAATAACACTCATCATCATTCAGCTATAACAGCCAAGTTTCTTTTTCCATGTTACAAAATACAAAAATTGAATACAACAAAGAGCTAAAGCTCTTTATCATCATAAGCTAGGGCAGAGGCAGGAAATTGTAGTAATAATAAAAGCATCAATGGGTTAGTAGTAATTTCGATACTAGGAACATTATTGAGAATTAGGCTACACAATGATATAGTGAAGAATGGTCAGAAGATTCTGTTTTTTGATACTACATAATTTTAGAATTTGGTATTGTGATTAATTCTAGAATTATACTCAGTAGTGTAAGAATAAAAAAATACTAGACGATGAAATTAACTAAAATTTCCTGCCACAAGCCTCACAGAAAGCACAGTTAGAATCACAAGTGATTCTTTTGTATGCACCATGGAAATATAAATTTTATGTTTCCTTCCGTTTATCTCTCTATCATTAGATTCTAAATAATGAGCACTACATGATGAATAGTATTTTTAAGTGCATGACAGTACAGGGCACATCATCCAGTTTTGCTTTGATTACAACAAATTCTCTAGAAATTACAAATAGCATTAATGGATGACAGCTACAGGGGTGAATGATAAATGAGGCACCTTCTTATAGAAAAAAGCTGGCATGGAGTAGAACTACCAATGTCCCTAATGTCAAAATGCTCTGCACACACATTTGGTGAAAAAGAACACCAAAGGAAGAGAGACAAACATGCTGGAGTTTTTAATAAGGATTCCAAAGCCTAATTACAAAAGACTTGAAATTAGAAAAAGACTTAAAATTTATGTACCTCTACAGAGAACAGTAGAATTACATAGGCATTTATTTAATGCTTGCACCATACTTCAACAGAGGATGTATGCTCACTGATAAAACATTCCACTGCAAATGCATGATAGCCAGAATCATTTATTACACATCACACAAATACACATTAGATAGAAATACTCCATCCAGTAAAATAATTTATTCTCAGCAAATTCATAGAAAATAATTAAATGTGCCCTAACTTTATTCTCAGTGCAGTGGACAGACATCACAGATAACTGCCTGTACCTGCTGAAAAGCTGCCTCACCAGTGCATTTAGTCTTGCACTGTCACTTGCCACACAATGAGATGGCTACGTTCTCCCCGGCTCTCCAGTTCCTGTTCTTGAGGAACAGGCTGGGGCTCACCACTTCCATCCATTCCTTCCTCTTCTTCACCATCACCTAGACACAAAATATATAGTATGCTCTGAATTTTCATTAAAAAACAAAAAAATTCTGGAATACAATTAAAAATAAATAATTTTCATTCTGTAATAAAATTATCTTCACACTGAATTTCTATTAGCTTTTCTTTCAAATGTTACATTGTGCTTATTTCAGATAGATATGATTTGATGCTTTCTGATCAAAATGTGAAGGTACAGAAAACAGTACATATTAAAAATTTTGCTGAATAAGTATCCATGAACAAAATTTCCTTTTTCTCATTTATCAGCTATCTATCTAAATTAACACTAAACATTGGTGTACATAATATTGATTTATAATTAGTGAGAGCTTTCTTCCAACATTTCATGAGAATTGTGGAAATGAGCAATAGAAAAAGAGGAACTTGGATCAAAATTCAGATCTCTTTAGGAAATGAAAACCCAAAACTGATCATCCCTCCTATGCAAAAAATTGTTTATTTTCTTCTGAAATTCAGAGTAAATAAAATATAATGTGAATAATGGTTATTTATTTGTTTATTAGTTTCTTAACAGTAATTAATCAAACATCTTATAAATGATTACTACAGAATACTAGAATTAACATATTATCTTTACATTTCTTTCGTCATGGGGGATGCATGTTCATTGATTGTGGGAAAAACAGATACACTTCATCAACTAAACCACTGTGTCTCCTACATGTCATGGCTAGTCTAAAGATGGCTTCACACAGTTGTTTTTTGGGGAGCAATGAGCAACCGCTCACTGAATATGAAATCGTGTGGATAGGTGGCTTCCTATTTACCGCCGGTGCTCACCCTATGCACATCAGCAGAGATTGGGGAAAGAGCAGTACATTGTGCTCAGTGAATATGGAATGTGTGGAGATGAAGTTTCCACGGGGCCCATAGCACTAAAACCTGGGGTTCCATCACGATTATCTAATTAATTAACAAAATCAAGATGTCAAGTGGAATATGGCATGAAAGAAAGAAAGACAGACAACAAATAATAAATTCTAAATTCTATGAGGCATGTTTTCTTGAAATAGTAATTAAATTTTGCAATAAAAATTAATATTTTAACAATAATATAAGTCTATCTTTAAAATAATGAACTCATATACAACAAACTAATAGAAAATTTGTGTATAACCTACCAAAAAATATATCTACAGTTTTATGTTTTGGGTAAATCTTAAACTCAATTTCATAGATACAAAATGATCTGTTATTACTGAAATGTTAAATTTTTCTAATATATCTAAATTATATATGTCTTTAATGAGCATAGATTCACAGTGCATAGCAGCAACCATGAAGTTTGGTCAGAAATATAATTCTTTAATTTTATTTTCATTATTGAATTTATAAACAAATTTTGTAGATTTTAAATGATTTTACAGAAGTGTCATAAAATTAACAATTCTTGCCACAATAAATTATTAAAATTGAAACAAAGGAAGCATTCTTGCTCTATCCACTTCATTACATATTTTTTTCACATAAAAACTCCAAATTAATTTTACATACCTTAATTTTTTTTTGAATTCACCAATGCTATACTACTTGACTGCAACTCAACTTCACAAATCTTTTCTCAATTGAAAAACTTTTCACAGGTCAATGGAGTATTGTTTCTTCGATCTTATTATAAATCTTATTTTATGTAAGGGGTTCTTTGAAAATCAGTGTTTCATTTTCACGTAAACTTATAACCAAGACACTTCACAGTGTTTTGAGAACATTCATGAGAAAACATGAACGGCATGGCTCTACGCACATTATTTTCATTTATCATGCAATGAGTTAAAGGATTGAACTAAATTTAAAAGTACAGAAACTACTTTGACTATAACATAAACTAAGTTTTTGTAACATTTACAAAAAGTTACAAAAGTGCAAGGCCTGTAACAAGTGCTACATGTGCTTCTACGTCAAACCGGTCCTGCTGCAAGTACTAAAAGAATGAGTTTGAAAGCTTAAACACTTGTGCATTTCTGATGACGATGATAATGATGAAAAGAATTATTTTTATTTAAATGCACATATCAGAAGTGATTTAAGCTATGAAGAAAAAATGAAGTAGCAAGGGATATAAAAATAATATTTTACAAGGAAACTTGTGTGAAATATCAAGTACTAATAAATGAAATAAAAGAAATAACATAATGCACCTTTAAAGGATAAATGGATATTTTATTAATGTTCCAAAAGATTAAATTACTGCAATTGAAGACAAAATTAGGAGGCAAATGGAAGTTTATATAAAGATGCTCTAGACAAGACTACAATGGCTTGTTTAACAAAACAGGAGGGATTGGTTAACATTAGCAAAGATAACATTATTGGAGAACATTATTTATTATTTGCACCATGATGCTCAATTAGGTTTTTCAATGTCACCCATATGCAATAAACAAAGCTTTCATACATACCTTCCACCTGCCCAATATTGTAATAAGAGATAGGGAGAGTGTGAGTGGGCAACCAGAAGCTTATGCAAAGCAGCCAATTTGTAGGATGCAAAAATCTTTTATAACAGCTTATGAGATTACTTTTCATCATAATTTGCATCTCACAAACTTGAAACTGTTATGATAGACCCACTAGCAAGCCACTCTAAAGAGATTACGATGATAATATTTAAAGGAATTGGATAAGTTACAACATGCTGAGTAATAAATCTTGCATAATTGGTTAATAAATGAATAAGTTTAAGAAAATAACAGTTATAAGGAAGATAAAAACTGAAACCCAATTACCTAGAAATAACATTCATTTCAAATCTATCTGTGTGGTGTATTACATGCCACTTATTTCCTTTCAAAAGATATTTAACACTGTTAAAAGTAGTTTGCATTTAATGTTTCCACATTTTGAGAAGTCTACACACCTATTGCTTTTTTAAAATGTTTTAACATTAAGAGGAAGGTAATTTTCATGCCACATATAATTTTCATGCTGCATTTGAATTGCTCGTTGTGCTATCTAATACAGTAAATCATGACTTACATATTCTTCTTAAACTAAGTTGCATATATTGTGTACAAATGTAGTCAAAAAAATTAAGCTTTATCAATGATTTATGTTGTTTTGGCTGCCATATTGGTAAATCATTTTGTTTTGAAAGATTATGGATATCGAAGTTCATTAAAAACTTGCAAATTTTTTTGAACGAAGTGTAACCCTTACTGGAGAGAGATTCAAAAACCAGTCATTAATTTCAATTGCCAAAATGTATTCTGAAAGAACTGAAATTGAAGTTTTCATTACCTCACTTCACTACCATTAAATTATTGTAATATAAGTAGTTATTTTTATTTTCTTCAACGAAAATATTACTCCACAAATAAATTTCATTTTACAAATGAGATTCTCATTACATCACAACATATATGATATAAAAACCGACTTTAAACCTTGCTACAATTAAGAGATGTAATGTACACACCAGAAAAACCAAGGAAAAGAATAGGTAAAAGCACAGCATGTAGAAGAGAAAGTTTGTAAGCTTTAGAGATACACATGGGACTGCCTCAGTGCAGCACTTATGTTGTGATGGGCACTTAAGTTGATTGACTGTAGCATTTATTATTCTTTATTATTGCAATATTATAGAAAAGAAGCATGGACTGTAATTTTTTTATTAACATATATGACCTCACTCAATGAAAGGTCGCATGAAATTCTATCTTGGCAATTTTCAAAAATTAAGAATAACCTCATACTTATATAATTCCATACAGAATTCTAAGTTACTTTTTGTTAAATTTTAATATATTTTTCTATTTACATATTTTATCACTCATTACATTCATATTTTTAAGTTCAATAAGTAATAATTATTATTAGCTCAAAACTTTGTCCACACTTCATGATATTATTAATTAATATACACATTTTATAGCATTTTTTAGTGTGCCCCATTTGATTTGCCCTAAATGATTGCGTTTACAGACTACCACCAGTTATGTGGCATAAGCAGGAGCAAGCCTCCTCCCCTTTCTTATATTTGCTATGGTTATAGTATAATAAAAATACATAAAAAAATATATGAATAGTAGAAAGTTTATTGAAGAAATTAGAAGAGAAAAGATCACCAGTTATTTATAGAAGTATTGTTCTTACATTTAAAAAAGAATATTAAATCACAAAACAGAAATTCAGAGGACACATACCAGGGGTAAGGAGTTTTGCACTTAATACCACTTCATTGAAGTTACAGACAGTTTCTTACTGATTTACCATAATGAACAGTGTATGTTACCAATAGTACACATAACAATCTATATCTCACACAGAACAACAAACATAATGAAGAATAAGACCAAAGCTTTAAATACATCCGGTACATGGTCATTGAATTTTCGCAAGAAAGAATAAAGCAGTATATTGGCACTCCAATTAATCACACTACTGCCATTCTGAAGTTTCTTAGGCACATACTCATGTTCCAAGAAGACAAATATAAGGAACTGTCTAGAATTTCAAATGATTTGGCAAATATTGAAAATCCTTTTGACTGTTTTCCGGGGAAAACTCTAGTAACTTTTTCCCCATGTTGAATTCATATTTGTCATAAAAGGTATATTTTATATACCATTTTGACTGACCCAGAAAAAACAGTTTCAAGGAAAAGCATTGCACTGATATTTTATTTACATTTTACAGAGTGACTATGCAGAGGACTATTGTGTTGCTGATACACAGCTTTTGACCTGACAAATAAGGCACATATAAATGCATACCGAGAGATTTGCCAGACTACCAGGTGACTGGCCGTATCTTCAGCCTCCTCCGCATCGTCCACTGCAAGGGGAAAACCCAACCACACACACACTCAGCGTTAATATAGAGAACTAAAACAAAAGGCAGAAGCACTCCAAACCAAATCAAAACTGAGTAATACAAGGCATCTTGTAGGTTAGATATTACTCACATAACAGCTTCCTGAACTTCATCAGAAACAGAAATAACTCAAACTCTAGATGTAATTTGTCTTCTTTCA